ACCTCCGAGGAAGCCGAGAAAGTCATGTCTGGTGTCCGGATTTTGACACTACGGGGAAGGGTCCGCCTGATGGAGTCCAACAACAAATCGTAACATCGCTTTCAAAGCAGGTGCAGGATCTCATGCGGCTTGTTCTTGACCACGACACGGCCAGGACAGTACATAACACCAAGGCAGTATATGGAAACAGCTGTCGAGTCGGAGGTCTCATTGGTGTGGCAGAGACCGCCCCCGAAGATACACTGCACTGGCAGAAAGCTGACAAATGCCTGAATGTAGTAAATCGCCGCGAGTAGGTGTGTCCAAACGTTGACTGTGATATTGGAAGGAGTTGACCGTTAACTGGACTTTCATTTTAGTTGATTCATGGACACTCCGAGTTGTGAGCAACCTGTACTTGCCTGTCTTGTTATGGATTCGGAACCCACTTGCAACAGACTTCGCGTGGGAATATGATTAGCTCCAGCAACTTGACCTAGTCAGAGACGTGCTAACCGATATCCAGAGAGAACGTAAGTATTATCTCTGGTGTTCAGAATCAGAAGCAAGGCCAGGACTTCAGCATATTTTTAATTACATACCTCTGCCACGATGCTTTGCGACGATATGTACGACGTTAATCAGAGCTTGAGATCATCAACAGCTCGGGACTGACCTCACGTCTCCGCGCATGGTAAGGGTGTCTTAACTTTTTCCACATTGCGTGTCATGGGTGCGGTAGAGAGCATAGAAAATAACGGCAAGACACACAGAGGTGCCTGAGAGCTTGTAGTGGGAATGGGTGCAACTCTGTACCTTGATTCTGGTTTTACCATGCACGAAAGGCCCGTGAATGCACACAGACAGAAGCAACTGCATCCCTATTTGTGTCTTCCAAACAGTGTCAGGAGCATTCCGTTTGAGAGAACTGAGCTGTTTGAACAAATTGAACCGTTCCATTCGCTGTAGCGAGTTGGTAGGCTGCAAGCATGTTATTTTGTGGCTCGGGGTGATGAAATTGTGCGATTCCACAACGAGTCGCAGAGACCACGACGCCAATGAACCAGGTATCAGAGCATTGTTGGTCTACCATCGTTACATGTTTGACATGTTTTACCGGCCGTTATCTCAAAGTTGAGCTACTGTAATTTCTTGCCATGTACGTATGTACTGTCTTGACCATAGGCTGCTTACATCGCCTCACCATGGATCCTTTATCGGCCACTCGACCGGCCCGTCGCAATCACCCAGCTCTTCGATCCACCGCTCAATCCTTGGAATGTTCCACCCGCTCATGTACTGCTCACAGTCTTCGGACTCCCTGTTTCTCACATCGCCGTGCTTCAGCGCATGGCCCATGCTGCAGACGCCCTTGTAATAGGTCGACGCACTCCAGCACAAGCATTGAGGTAAATAAAAATATGACTCTGTTGAGAAAATGATTGTCCGGGAGGATACTGTTCGTCGAGCCGCCCAAGTGCGAGCAGGTGACAGTTGTCGTTGTTTGTTCGCCAACATACTCAGTATGGTGTGTCCACGGCCTGAACTTCATTGCATGCACAGCGAAGGGAAAGAGGGAAGTAAACGACAATAAATACAAAGATTTTCCTTGTTGTAGAGATATCTATTTTATGTTGGGGGCGGTGCAATATGATGCGTTATGTACGTGATGACGGCGATGGCCTGGGGGGGAAATCCTCGAACTTTCAATTAGGCATGGGTTACTACTGTACGGTCTCATCATGGGTTAATGCTTTTATGTATTATGCCTTTTGCATACCA